ATGCAGGAGACACGGGTTCAATCTCTGGATCAGGAAGATCACCTGCAGAATGAAATGGCAACCCACTTCAGTACTATTCTTGTCTGGGAAATCCCAGGGACAGAAGGGCCTGGAAAGCTATAGTCAGTGGGGTCTCAAAAGAGTCAGACATCACTTAGCAACTAAACAATAACAATAACAACTTAAAATCTTTAGATCAGTTTCTATTATTTGTTCTCAGAAACAATTCAGCAATCAATAATCCTGTATGATTGCCAACCATGGGACAAAGTTTTATAGATAGGAAATGCAAAGCAGAGGAAGTAGGATTTTGACTCTGTTGTTGTTTTTGCTCAGTCACTAAGTCATGTCTGACTCTATGCAACCCCGTGGACTGTAGCAGGCCAGGCTTCCCTGACCTTCATTATCTCCTGGAGTTTACTCAAATTCATGTCCATTAGTTTGGTGATGCCATCCAACTGTCTTATTCTCTGCCACCCCACTCTATTCTTGCCCTCAATCTTCCCCAGCATCAAAGTCTTTTCCAATGAGTCGATGTTTGCATCAGGTGGCCAAAGAATTGGAGTTCCAGCTTCAGCATCAGTCCTTCCAATGAATATTCAGAGTCGATTTCCTTTAATTGACTGGTTTGATCTCTTTGCTGTCCAACAGACTCTCAAGTCTTCCCTAGCACCACACTTTGAAAGCATCATTTCTTCAGAACACAACCTTTTAATGGTCCAGCACTCACATCCATACACGACTACTGGAAAAGCCATAGCTTTGACTATAAGGATGTTTGTCAGCAAAGTGATGTCTCTGCTTTTTAATACACTGCCTAGGTTTGTCGTAGCTTTACTTCAAGGAACAAGCATCTTTTAATTACATGGCTGCAGTCACAGACTGCACTGATTTTGGAGCCCAAGGAAATAAAACTTGCCAGTTTCCATTTTTTCCCCCATCTGTATGCCATGAAGTGATGGGACTGTATGCCATGATCCTAGTTTTTTGAGTGCTGAATTTCAAGCCAGCTTCTTCACTTTCCTCCTCCACCTTCATCAAGAGGCTCTTTAGTTCCTCTTAAATTTCTGCCATTAGAGTGGTCTCATCTGCATATCTGAGTTTGTTGATATTTTTTATGGCAGTCTTGATTCCAGCTTGTGATTTATCCAGCTCAGCATTTTGCATGATGTATCCTGAAAATATGTTAAATAAGGAGGGTGATAAAATACTGCCTTAATGTACTCTTGTCCCAGTTTTGAACCAGTCAGTTGTTCCATGTCTGGTTCTAACTCTTTTTCTTAAAATGCATACAGGTTTCTCAGAAGGCAGGTAAGGTGGTCTGGTATTCCTATCTCTTTAACAATTTTCTACAGTTTGTGGTGATCCACAGAAGCAAAGGTTTTGGCATGGTCAATGAAGCAGAAGTAGATATTTTCTGGAATTCCCCTGTTTTCTCTATGATCCAATGGATGTTGAAAATTTGATCTTTTGTTCCTCTGCCTTTTCTAAATGCAACTTGTACATCTGAAAGTTCTCAGTTCATGTATTGTTGAAGTCTAGCTTGAAGGATTTTTGAACAGAACCTTGCTAGCATGTGAAATGAGAACTGTATGGTAGTTTGTCCATTCTTTGGCATTGCCCTTGTTTGGGATTGGAAAGAAATCTGATCTTTTCTAGTCCTGTGGCCACTGCTGAGTTTTCTTTCCCTCAGTCTTCCCCAGCATCAAGGTCTTTTCCAATGAGTGGGTGTTTGCATCAGGTGGCCAAAGAATTGGAGTTTCAGCTTCAGCATCAACCCTTGCAATGAATATTCAGGGAATATTCAATACCAGATTTGCTGGTATTGAGTACAGGACTTTGACTCTTTGGGTGTTGCCAAATTTTGTCCCCATGGATTCTACCACTTTGTGTCACTCCCAGCAGAGCTCCAGAGTGACTATTTTTCTACACATTTTTTAAACTTTTGTGATTTTGAGCCAAACGGTCTGGCTCCAGAGTCCACACTTTTAATCATTAGGCTATCACAACTCCAAAGAATAATGACAAGATGCTTACTATTTTTCTCAGTGCTAGGGATATAGAAGAGAATAAGATGAATAAATTCCCAGCTCTCAAGAACTCACATCATAAGGGAATTTCCAATAATGGAAATCAACAAATGATGAAATAGATATGCAAGGTCAGGTAGTGACAAGTGTGTGAAGACAGAACAAGTAGAACTCTGTAAGGAAGACCTCTTTGGGGAAGTGGTATTTTGACAGACCTGAGTGACTGTGAGTGAGAGCCATTTTAGTAGGTGGAAGGACATTCTGGGACAAGAATGTGCATGTGCCAGTGCCTTGAGCTGGGAGCCTGTGTGAAGCACTGGAGGTACAGACATATGGCGTGTGATGCTGGAGGGAAGTGATGGCTGGAACCTGGAGAGATGAGGTGGTAAAAGTGGCCAGGGAGAAAAATGGCATTGGCCTGGAATGATAAGATCAGGGCTTGAATTTCTTTCTAAGTGAGAGGGCTAATAGCAGAGTGTTTTGAGAGGAACAAGACATGACAATAGTTTAAAGGTCCACTCTGGTTGTATGTGCAGTGCAGCAAGTGTGGGGTCTGGGCATGTGCTGCAAGGCCCCAGCAATTCTAGATAAAAGTGAAAATGGTGGATGTGGTGAGAAGGGGGTGGATCCATGAAATATTATGGAGAGGTAGCAGGATTTACTGATGGGTCAGATATGAATCTGAGCAAAAGATGAATAAGGATTTTGGCCTGAGCACCATGGAAAATGAGGCACCATGTCCTGAGACAGGGACCACCAGGGAAGAAGCAGGCTTGAGGGTCAGGCATGAAATTTGAGTTTGAGATGCAGTGGGAACTTCATGTGGGACTCTCAAGTAGACAATTTTACACGAGTCTGGAATTCAGAAAAGGGTTTGTGTAAACAAGCAAGTGGCCCAGGCAGCTAGGTCTGGGCTTCAGAAGGTCATAGTCAGGAAGAGGAGTCTGAGAAGGAGTGGCCAGTGATGCAGGGTGAAAGTCAGGAGACTCTGATGTCCAGCAATCCAGGTAAAGAAGGTTTTTTAAAAAAAGAAACTGCCAAAAGTCAGTAAAGTGAAGACAGGCATCAGCCCACTGGGATTGTCACATGGAGCTCATGGCCACCAGAATCTACAGGCCTCAGCTTAGTCATCCTTCCTCAGAGGGGCCTCGCTGCCCCTTCAGTGCCTTCCTCCCCTCCCAGCATGCTGTACTGTTTTGGGTGGAGGAACACTGAAGAAAGTGCTGTTTTCACTGTATCACATCAAGGGTACATGTTACCAACATAACGTACCGTGGAGGATGCTGATCTTCATCACCTGGCTGAAGGGAGTCTTCCCCAGGCTCATCCAATGTGAAGTTACTTCTTCCCTTTCTCCATACTTTTCATGAAAAGGTTTGGGGTCACAGAAATCTTCCCACAAAAAAGTGTTTTAATTGGGTAGGAAGTTTCAAAATGAGGGAGAAAAAGCCCCCTACCATGACCATTGTGAGGTCTGTGCCCAGCCAGACACCTTATTGTTGGAAAGAGACCCTGGTCAAAGGAAGAGGCTGTCTTGGGCCCCTTTTTTGGCATATGCCATCAGACTTATTTTAGATGAATAACTTGGCATTCCCCTTTATACCAGGAGTTAGATAGATGGGGCTGCTCTTGCAGGGTGTGGACTCTGACAGTTCTCTGGTGTGGGGTATTTAGTCTCAAGAGAAGAGACCAGAGCCTGATCCTCAGTAGGTAGCAGTGAGTCTGAAGCAGCCAAGTCTGTGCCTAGGAGGGGACTGTAGACATCTCTCCCTGCCCCTCTGTGATAGCAGGTACAGGGCTGGCAGAGTCTTAAGGGAAGTGGTGGGTAGGATGCAGACAAGAGCCCATCAGATCCTGTGGGGTCTGGCTTTGCCCTGTGTGTAGGGAGCATGCCTAACACTAGTGAAAGCCATAAGGCAGGGAAAACCATAAAGTTGCAAGCAATAGATAAATGCTGACAGTTACATTGGTGGTATGGGAAATGAACTTTGTTCTTTTGCTTATAATTTCTTACTTAGGCAAGTGACAGTTGAAGCTTATGGAAAATCAAACTCACCAAATAGTGTGAAGACATAAGAGACAATACCAAAAGCCACAGACTTGTGACCTACCCTGGCTGAAATAGCATGAGTTCTGTTCCTTGACCACAGGCTGCTTTGGATGAGCATGGCTATCTGGACTGAGCTGTTCCCACGGGTAACAGGTAAGGGGAGTCTAAGGATTGCTAGTATGGGGAGTGTGAGATTAACAGTCTGGTATGACTACAGGATGGGCATCTCCAACATAGTGAAGCAGTGCAGTATTTTACTCTGCAATTGTTTATTGACATCCTACTGTAGATGCTGGCAATAGTAATAGGATGTATAGAACAGACTTGTGGATTCTGTGGGAGAAGGCGAGGGTGGGATGTTTCAGAGAACAGCATCGAAACATGTATATATAGGGTGAAACAGATCACCAGCCCAGGTTGGATGCATGAGACAAGTGCTCAGGCCTGGTGCACTGGGAAGACCCAGAGGGATGGGGTGGAGAGGGAGGTGGGAGGGGGGACCGGGATGGGGAATACATGTAAATCCATGGCTAATTCATTTCAATGTATGACAAAAACCACTGCAATGCTGTAAAGTAATTAGCCTCCAACTAATAAAAATAAATGGAAAAGAAAAAAAAATAAATAAAAAAAATAAAAAAAATAAAAATTCATGAGCATTTTAGGATGTGAGAAAGAAAAAAAAAAAAAGTAATAGGAAACCTCTGAGTGGCTTAGTACAGGCTGGTGGACTGCAAACCAGAACTAACATGCTAGCCCCGCCCTGGGGTGGAGGATAGCATAAATGCCCTTTGAGTGACACTCCCTCCTCTCTTTCTGCTCCTTCTAGATGCTTCCACTGCAACTGCACAGGGTGTCAGGCAGACTGAGATGGGGCCCTGCTCAGAAGACCCCCACCTCTGCTGGGCCTCCAGGTTCCTGGGATTCGTCAGCCTCCTCCTCAGTGAGTGGTCCAGGCTCCTGGGAGGGAAGGCCTTTGGGTGGAACAGGGAGGCAGGGTGCCTTTTCTGTGCCTAATGTCCTTGGTGAACAAAAAGAAATAACAGCTTTGTAATTATTTAGCAAATGCAGTGCATTTGGTTTAGAGTTCTGGGGTGACCAGGAGAGCAAAGTGACCTCCTGGTTGTGGCAAGTTTAGGACACCTGAGCTCAGGCAGCTTTCACTATTTAAGGGAAACATTTGAGGGAGGTAAGGCTGTCTCTGCGGTAGTAATGGGAAGTCTGGAGAACTCAGAGCTGCCTGCAGAGAGGGAGAGAGACTAAGAACCTGGCTCCTTGACTTGGACAGGCTGGGGAACAACCCAGAGGGAATCTGACAGTCTGTGCTGCTGTCCTGTGGAGGAGGTGGTTGACTAGAACTGTCTGAGATGGAGAAAGCAACTGTAGTCTTGATTTCTTGGGGAAGATGCAGGATGTTAAATACAATGAAATGAAATTCTGCTTTTGTAAAAGGAACAGCAGCTTCTTAAGTTTAAGGGTTTCTGTATATTCACCTGTTGTAAGAATATGGCGAAACTATGGAAGGAACAATAGACTGGTAATATGGGCTCTTGAGGTGGGTGAACTCGGGGAAAAGAGAAGAGAAAGGGATGTAGAAACTACAGGTAATTAAGTGAACAGTGAACTCAAGACTGGACAAAACCCTAATCACATACATGACTTCCTAGAAGATTATATGATTATGTATATGGAAATTAAATATAAACTAATGAGGAAATGCCCACTAAATTATGAAATCTGGAGAAAGTTGGAAAGCTTTTTTTTGTTTTAGTATCCCAGTGACTAAATGAACTTGTAGGAGTTATATGAAAATTAATGAATTAGAGACTGTTTATAAAGAGATGTCTTGAATTAAGAATGAGCTTTGCAAAACATTACCTCCTTTTTAACATGAAAACTCTATGTCAACAGTAAAATATAGACCTTCTCTACTCTTCAGTTTTTTAAAGTGGAAAACTTTTTCTGTTATTTAGGGTTTGTCCATAGTCTTTCGGGTTGGCAGATTACATAAGAGAGAGGGAGAAATGGACACAGTTTTAAGTTGATTTGCTAATGTTAAATTTTACATTATTTAAGTAAACTTTTGCACTATCTTGTTTTTAACTACACTCTCCCTGACTTTCTTTTCTCCTTCAGGATTAGACCTTTGGTAGATCACAGCTCTTGCCCTCTTCCTTCTCTTTCAAAGTCTTGTTCCATCGTCCTCACAGGTGGGCTCACTATTCCCTTCTGAGTGGATCCTCTCTGTAGCCTGAGGGCTGAGCTTCCTCTCTCCCTGGTTCCTGTTTTTTTTTTTTTTTTCTTCCCCCAGCAAGTTGGGAGTCTGGCTGGGTGGTGGTTTAACCCTCAGCTGGCAAGAAGTTCCTGCCCTGCTAAGACCTTCAAAGTTCTTGCTTCCTTGTTTCAAGAGAGGAAACCTGGAGGATGAGCCTCCAGGAGCTGCTCAGATCCTGGTGATGAGACAGCAGTGCTGGGATGGGGGCCCCCAGGGAGGACAGGGAGAGGGCGAGGGAGCGGATGGGAGCTCCTGCAGGGGAGAAGCGCTGGGCTGGGAGCGGGGAGCCCTGGTGCCAGGAGTGGCTCTGCCCAGCACAAGTTCACCTCCTGAGAAGCTTCCTCTTCTGTGACAAGGGGAGTCTGGACAGATGTCTCCTGAAGCCTGACCTGGAGGAGATGCTTGATTAAATGAGTTAGTGATTAAATGAATACAAAGAAATATCTGAAACCCTTGGGCATGTGCACAGTAGCACGTGCTATTCTCTGCTTCCAGTGAGAGCCGGGAAGGAGAATAAGTACAGTAGGAGGGAGACAGAGGAGAAGGCAATGGCACCCCACTCCAGTGCTCTTGCCTGGAAAATCCCATGGATGGAGGAGCCTGGTAGGCTGCAGTCCATGGGGTCACTAAGAGTCGGACACAACTGAGTGACTTCAGTTTCACTTTTCACTTTCATGCATTGGAGAAGGAAATGGCAACCCACTCCAGTGTTCTTGCCTGGAGAATCCCAGGGATGGGGGAGCCTGGTGGGCTGCCATCTATGGGGTCGCACAGAGTCGGACATGACTGAAGTGACTTAGCAGCGGCAGCAGGAGGAAGACAGGTCTGAAATGATGAGATTTTATTGAATTGGAAAGAAAACTGGGACTGTGAAAGGCTGAGACCAATCACAGCAGATGAATCCTGACCTGCTGGAAGAAGCAGATTGATCATCTTTTTAGGATAGGGCACTTTCCCTCATTCTGTTCTGTCCTACCTGGTCCCCAGAAAGGACAGAGGGTATCAGATCCCTTGGGCCTATGTCTGAAGAGGGAGGGTGGGCTCAGGAGGTGGTGGCCCTGCAGCAAATGTGCCCACTGGTTGCAACTCAGGGTCACAAGGACAGTTCAGTTCAGTTCAGTCACTCAGTCGTGTCTGACTCTTTGCAACCCCATGAACCTCAACACACCAGGCCTCCCTGTCCATCACCAACTCCTGGAGTCCAACCAAACCCATGTCCATTGAGTCAGTGATGCCATCCAACCATCTCATCCTCTGTCGTCCCCTTCTCCTCCTGCCCTCAATCTTTCCCAGCATCAGGGTCTTTTCCAATNCCAAAAGTCTGTTCTGTACATCTGTGTCTCTTTTTCTGTTTTGCATATAGGGTTATCATTACCATCTTTCTAAGTTCCATATATATGTGTTAGTATGCTATATGACCCAGCAATACCACTTCTGGGCATACACACCGAGGAAACCAGATCTGAAAGAGACACGTGTACCCCAATGTTCATCGCAGCACTGTTTATAATAGCCAGGACATGGAAGCAACCTAGATGCCCATCAGCAGATGAATGGATAAGGAAGTTGTGGTACATATACACCAAGGAATATTACTCAGCCATTAAAAAGAATCCATCTGAATCAGTTCTAATGAGATGGATGAAATTGGAGCCCATTATACAGAGTGAAGTAAGCCAGAAAGCATCTTTTAATTTCATGACTGCTATCACCATCTGCAGTGATTTTGGAGACCAGAAAAATAAAGTCAGCCACTTTTTCCACTGTTTCCCCATCTATTTGCCATGAAGTGATGGGACCAGATGCCATGATCTTAGTTTTCTGAATGTTGAGCTTTAAGTCAACTTTTCACTCTCCTCTTTCACTTTCATGAAGAGGCTCTTTAGTTCTTCTTCGCTTTCTACCATAAGGGTGGTGTCATCTGCATATCTGAGGTTATTGATATTTCTCCTGGAAATCTTAATTCCAGCTTGTGCTTCCTCCAGCCCAGCATTTCTCATGATGTACTCTGCATATAAGTTAAATAAGCAAGGACAGCAGAGCTCATTAAATGATCACTAGCTCTCTCCCTCATATTCTAGTCCTTGGCAGTTAGCCTTGTGATGAGTGCTGGCCAAAAAACATGAGCAGAGAGCACACTACTTCTGGACAGATGCAGTGAAACTCCTGTGTGATTCTCCTGTCTCCCATCTCTGCGGTGGGGCTGGGAGCCTGTGTGGATGCTGTGAGCTTCATGGGTGTGGCTACAAGGTAGTAAATCCTCCAACATGTGAGTTAGGATTCTTCCCTCATTCTCTGAGGGGGCCTCTAGTAGGAGATAAAAACTCTGCTTGTTCTGAGATACTGAGGTACTGTAACTGTTCATTACCTAGCACAGCCTAGCCTGTCCTGGCTACTACATTGCCCTGAAGATCTCGGGAAGGAAAGCAGTCTTCATGTTTGTATTAGGTATCTATTGCTGTGTAACGTGTTATCCCAAAACTTATTGCCTTAAACACAATCAGATATCATCTCACAGTTTCTGTAGTTCAGGGCTTAGAGTTGGATCAGCTGAGTCCTCTGGCTCAGGGTCTTCAAGACTGAAATCAGAGCCTTGGCTGTATCAGTATCTTGATTCCAAGAGCTCTCATGGATTGCTAATGGGAGGCAGTTCCTTGGCTATTGGACTGAGGGTGCCATTTCCTCTCTGGATGTTGGCCAGAGGCACCCTCAATTTCTTGTCATGTGGGCTCCTTCTTAGGGCAGCTGACAACATGGCAGCTCAGTTCCTCAGAGCAAACAAGAGTGAAAGTGAAAGAGATAGAGTGTGAGCAAGAGGGAAGTCACAGTCTTGTATAACCTAGGATCACTCAAGTGACATCCATCATGTCTGCTCTAGTCTAGCCCTAAGCCACTCTCTAGATGCAGCCCCATTCCAGGGGAGGGCACTACATAAGGATGTGAACGTAAGGGGACAGTTAGGAAGCTCCTCCTACAGTTATGCATTTGGTATTGATAGAAAGTATGCTAGGTACTTTTGATCCATGATCTCATTCAATTTATAATGTAGGTGAGGAAACTACAGATTAGTTAAAGTTACCTACTCAAGGTAGCAGTTCACTAGAACTAAGATTTAATAGTAGAATTGCTTTAAAATCATGTTACTAGTTTGCCTCCTAAGAATCAAGGGAGTATATTGGATGAATTTTGTTTAAAATATAGGCTATATAGTTTTCTCCTTTATTGTTACTGAAAATATGTTTCCTGTGTCCCATGCCCTAGGCATCTGCAGCAGAAATCAGAGCCTTGGCTGTATCAGTATCTTGATTCCAAGAGCTCTCATGGATTGCTAATGGGAGGCAGTTCCTTGGCTATTGGACTGAGGGTGCTATTTCCTCTCTGGATGTTGGCCAGAGGCACCCTCAATTTCTTGTCATGTGGGCCCCTTCTTAGGGCAGCTGACAACATGGCAGCTGACAACATGGCAGCTGAGTTCCTCAGAGTGAACAAGAGTGAAAGTGAAAGAGAGAGTGTGTGAGCAAGAGGGAAGTCACAGTCTTGTATAACCTAGGATCACTCAAGTGACATCCATCACGTCTGCTCTAGTCTAGCCCTAAGCCACTCTCTAGATGCAGCCCCATTCCAGGGGAGGGCACTACATAAGGATGTGAATGTAAGGGGACAATTAAGAAGCTCCTCCTACAGTTATGCATTTGGTATTGATAGAAAGTATGCTAGGCGCTTTTGATCCATGATCTCATTCAATTTATAATGTAGGTGGGGAAACAACAGATTAGTTAAAGTTACCTACTCAAGGTAACAGTTCACTAGAACTAAGATTTAATAGTAGAATTGCTTCAAAATCATGTTACTAGTTTGCCTCCTAAGAATCAAGGGAGTATATTGGATGAATTTTGTTTAAAATATAGGCTATATAGTTTTCTCCTTTATTGTTACTGAAAATATGTTTCCTGTGTCCCATGCCCTAGGCATCTGCAGCGCTGGAGTCAAGAGTTCTGGATCACACGGTTCTGGAGTTCAGGATTCTGGAGCCCATGTTCCCCTGCAGGGGATCCGAGGAGGTTCTGTGTTGTTTCTTCTGACCAAGTATCAAGAAGCTGACCCAGAGGAAGTCTCATGGGGCTTTGGCCCTGAGTCAAACTACAGAGTCCTGCTGCAAGTCCGCCGTGGGGCAGACACCCCAACCTGGGTCAGCCTCCAGGACAAGTACCAGCACAGGGTCCATGTGCCCAATGTGATGTCCCTGAGGATTGAGAACCTGACCCGAGAGGACAGTGGGCAGTACCGGTCTCGAACCAGCTTCCCTGGAGGAAGAGAACTCACCCAGGTTTTCCTCCTCACTGTCTATGGTGAGTGACTCCTCCTCACCCCACCCTATGGCTTCCCTCCTGCCTTTGTGCTAGGAGTTTCACACAAGCCCCATTTTTCAGGATCCCTTCCAGACACCAGACTTCAGACTGCTTTTCTCCTTTGAATTAGGAAGTTAGTGGTTTACTGCAAATGGTGAGAGGACTTGATATTTACACCAGGGATAAAACCGCTTTAGTATTTTGGGAGAGGAGAATGGAAATTTGGGGAAATGATATTACCATAACAATTATTGTTCTTTTTAGGTCCAGGTTTACTTTATGTCTGTATTAGTTGTCTGTTGCTGCTTTAATTTGGAGACTTAACACAAAGCAAATTTATTAACTTTCTGAGCTACAGGTCAGAAGTCACACATGGGTCTCACCAGGCCAAAGTCAAGGTATTGCCAGGGCTCTGTTGTTTTCTAGAGGTTACAGAAGGCGATTCATTTATTTGTATTTTCCACCTTCTAGTGGTTGTTTATATTATTTGGCTCATGATCACCTTCCTCCATCTTAAAAGCCTGCAATATTGGGACCAATTCTTCTCAAATCTTATCCCTTTGACCTCATCCTCTTCTTCCTTCCATGTTTAAGGACCCTTGTGATTACATTGGTCCCATCCAAGTAATCAGAATAATCTTATTTTAAAGCAAGCTGATTAGCAGCCTTAATTCCATTTGTTACCTTAATTTCAGCTTGCCACGTAACCTAACAGAGTTACAGGTTCTGAGGATTGGTTGGACTTATTTGGGGTCCAGTATTCAGCCATCACAATTCAGAAATCCATGGGTAGTCTGTACCTCCTCCTTTTACTCAGCGCCAGCCCAAGACCAGCCTCACTGACAAAGATTCCACCAATCCAGCTCTAGAAGCCTTCAGTAGATGTAGGAGAAAAGTTACTCTGTAACATTTCTAGAGGCCCTCACTTAGTCAATACTTTTTTCCCTAAAGCCTGCCTGCCTAGGAAAACATCTGGTGTGAGAGCTTGATTGTTGCTTCTTTAGGTTCCCATGTGATTTCTACAACCAACTGATTGGTATATCATGTCTCAAATTCAGTGGCATGTTCTAACCAGACTCAGACTCATCACAGTAGTTGCTACCGCTGCATCTCCCACAAATTTGTCCATCCCTGTGAGCACAAAACATTTCTCTGGGGTCCCAGTGTTGACCAGGTGTCTCTCTTCTCTAGAGGCTATAAAATTTCAAGCATTATCTGTGCAAGAGAGAAGGGCAAGATGCTGATCTAGGACTAGGCCTTCTTCCCCAGACTTCTACTGCTTCTAGGAAAGACCCAATTTTCTTAGAAATAATGGGTATTGGGAAAGTGGGATCAGGGTTTATTTTCTGGTTGGAGATCTTTCAGGCTTTCTAAACACACACACAATTTAGTAAAATCACATACAACTTACCTCAGTGGCTCCCCTCTTTATTGTCACTTGCTGTGTGTTAAGTATTTGGCAACTTGTGGGTTTTAAAAAAAATAATTTATTTATTTTAATTGGAGGCTAATTACTTTACAATATTGTAGTGGTTTTTGCCATACATTGACATGAATCAGCCATGGGTGTACATGCGTTCCCCATCCTGAACCGCGCTCCCACCTCCCTCCCCATCCCATCACTCAGGGTCATCCCAGTGCACCAGCCCTGAGCACCCTGTCTCATGCATCAAACCTGGACTGGTGATCTGTTTCACATATGATAATATACATGTTTCAATGCTATTCTCTCAGATCATCCCACCCTCACCTTCTCCCACAAAGTTCAAAAGTCTATTCTTTACATCTGTTTCTNATTGGGTCATTTATTTTTCTGGCATAGAGATGCAGGGGCTGCTTGTATATTTTTGAGATTAATTGTCAGTTTGCTTTGTTTGCTATTATTTTCTCCCATTCTGAGGGTTATCTTTTCACCTTGCTTATAGTTTCCTTCATTGTGTGAAAGCTTTTAAACTTAATTAGGTCCCATTTGTTGATTTTTGCTTTTATTTCCACAACTCTGGAAGGTGGGTCATAGAGGATCCTGCTGTGATTTATGTCGAAGAGTGTTTTGCCTATGTTTTCATCTAGGAGTTTTATAGTTTCTGGTCTTATGTTTAGATCTTTAATCCATTTTGAGTTTGTTTTTGTGTATGGTGTTAGAAAGAGTTCTAGTTTCATTATTTTACAAGTGGTTGACCAGTTTTCCCATCACCATTTACTGAAGAGGCTGTCTTTGCCCCATTGTATATTCTTGCCTCCTTTGTTAAAAAAATAAGGTACCCATAGGTGCATGGGTTTATTTCTGGGCATTCTATCTTGTTCCATTGATCTATATTTCTGTTTTTGTGCCAGTACCATACTGTCTTGAACTGTGGCTTTGTAGTATAATCTGGAGTCAGGAAGGTTGATTCTTCCAGTTCATTCTTCTTTCTCAAGATTGCATTGGCTATTCGAGGTTTTTTGTATTTCCATACAAACTGTGAAATTATTTGTTCTAGTTCTGCAAATTGTGTTTTGTCTGTAAAATGTGTTCACTATCATTAAGGGGAGAATGCCAGGGTTTCAGTGAGATGATGGATGAGAATGTACAGACTGAAATGTTCTCCAATCATGTGAGCCCCATTCTTTTGTCTCTTTTCTCCCAGATCCTGCACCCCTTCCCCAGATCCTGGTCAAATCCACATCCATCACACCAGGCTGGTGCAATGCCACCCTGGAGTGCACAGCCTCACGGGACACAGAGGACCTGAAGGTGACCTGGGGGAGCATGGGCCTTCCCAGGGAGCAGAGAATAATGCTGGATCCACCCTCAGACTCCTGGACCCTGACTCTGAGCCTGCCCCTGAGCCGACCCAGTGCCAGCTTGACCTGTGTAGTCAGCAACCAGGTGGACCAGAAAACTGCCACCTTAGACCTTGGAGAAGTCTGTGTCTCTGGTGAGTGCACCCACCAGAGGGGACGGGCAGTGTCAGAGCTCAGGGGTTAGGCTCATGGGCTTTTCTCCCCACCATGTTATTAGCCCCACCTTTTAATGGGTCACCCCATAAAGGAGTCTGATGGGTACAGCCACAGCATGTCTGCTTTTAACTGTCCCTCAAGACCTTGCCTGCCAGTACAACTCTATCCCCACATTTCCCTCAAGAAACAGGGATTAATTTTTATTGAAAATCTTGTCCACCGAGCTCAAGATGATCTATTCACTGTCCTAGCTGGCCCTGGAGGCAGAGCAGGGGTGGTATTGGGGAGGTGAAGAGAACTAGAGCTGCAACAGCAAAAGCATTCACTAGAGATTTATTTCTCTAAGGGCTCACCCCTCCCCTGACCCATGCTCCCTGCTGCCTGCACCTGCCTACCTGTTGCCCTCTGGGGAGCTCCTTCCCTCCCAGGTGCTGCAGAAGAGTGTCAGATCTGGTCCAGGGCAGTAGTTTTCCAGCACTCCTCCTACCTCATTCGTTTTCTATAGTGCGTAGTCTTTTAAAAAGCAATTGGACTTTGTGATTGGTCTGTATCATCTGTAGGCGTCTGACCCAGGGACTCCCTTCAGGATTCAGGGCTCTGAAGCTCCCCTGCCCATGTTCCTTACCTCACGCACTTCACACTGAATTGTTTGCTTGGCTTCCCTGAATGTGTCCTGAAGTTGCAAGCTTCTTAGCCTCTGGAAATGCTATTTCCTCTACCATCAAACCTCCCAAGTCAAGAGTTTTTCACTTCCTTACTTATTCCTATTGAAGGATTTTCCTCAGGTCATGGGCATGTAACCCATGTCCTGACTTGGTTATAGTTCTGTTATGAATCAAGTTGAACAAAGGGTGGCTCAATCTCATGTTGCACAGGCACTGTAGCTGCTGTAACTGCCCTGCCTCAGGCATCATCCCCTCTAAGGAGCAGTCCATGGCCACCCCACACTGAGTAGCAGTGCAATTGATGGGTTTGTCTTCTCCATAGTCTGGAACACCTTGTGGGCAGAGGACTAGTCCTGTTCTCCTTTTAATTCTTATACCAAACAAACCTTCTAGCACTGCTCAGTTAATATTTCACTGAATGAATGACCTGGTATCTTGTGTGCAGTCCAGCACCTCTAACCATCTCCCATGAGGTGCTGGTGGGAGCTGATATGTCAGCAACACTGAAAATCTCATGATACCTTTCCCTTCGTCCCATTCTGGAGTCTCAGATAAAGTTCAACACTCAGCATGACCCATAAGACCCTCTGGAAAGAGCCTCTTCCTCCCTCTGATCCTCCTTGCCCAGCTCGCCCTTGCCCTACCCTCTCCTGCCTGCTTGTATAGAGTGAATGCAACCCCTAGGGCTGGAGATTTGTCATGGAACAAACAAATGGAAGTGGAAACAGCAATTTCCACTCCTTCTTGGAAAGCTCTGCCCAGTCTGAATGTCTGGTAAACTCCTATTCCTCTCTCAAGGCTCAGGTTTTGCATCACCTCATCTGGGAGGCCCTCCTTGAAGACCAGTGTACAAGGTACAAACTTCGATGGCACTGCCATCTCTCTGGCTGGAAGACTTTGGTATTTTCAGTCTTCCCCCTCTGTGACCCTGGCTTGCTCCTCTCAGCATCCCTGGCATCAAGCAAGAGCTCGGGACCTGGGTGAATGAATGATACTGCCTCACTCCTTTCTCTTTAGCTGACTTCACCATCTCCTCTCTATATATCTCCCCTCAGCAATGGGTATTACAAGTTCTGTCTTTCCTTAACTTTCTTCATTCTCTCTGTGTGAGGAAAACAGATTCACATGGACAGGTCAGTGCTGACCCCCTGTCATGCATCATAAAGGCTGTTGTGGTTATGCTGTTGATCCTTGGAGTTGGACTGTTCCTTTGGAAGACACGTGGGAAGAAGAGGAAGATGAAGACTGGAAGAGGCAGGTTTCACTTCTCTTCCCTGCCCCACTTCCCACCCCTCACCCACTGAACCTTTGGCTGCCTTCCTCCTTTATTTTGCTGCTCAAGGATTATCTCTGGGGAAGGGGAAGGTGGGTATAGGCTTGACCTTGGGTTCATTGCCATGGGGGAAGGTATATGTTTTCAAGGCCAAGGTTCAAGCTTCACTCTGTGTATGACTCAGGTATAGAATTTCAGGAGGATCACAGGGACAATGATGGTGGAGACCAGTATGCAGAGCTGAGCCAGCAGGCATCTGGAGAGGCCACATACAAGGTGAGAACTGGGAGCTGTGCCCAGCCTGGGCTCTCGTGGGTCTTTCTCCTGGGTCTGTCAACCCAGTCATCTGCTGTTCCTGGCCCTGCTGTCTCTCACCATGTGGTCAGTGGTATTTTCGCAGAACATTTCAAACTTGGGGCCAATGTAGAGCTGGTCACTTTGGGGGAATTCACATGCAGTTCATATCAGCAGCATTGGTTCCATGTGGATCACTCTGGGGCCTCTCTCAGCTCTTTATAAACCCTCTGTCTTCCATTCATAGGTAATTGGTGAACATACTTAGAAGAAGAGGAGCCTTTTAGAGTCTGCAGTGAGGTCCACAAGCCAGAAAGTGGGCCCATGAAGATAATTTAATTGGAGGAAGCAGGAGACTCGGCACTCCTAGGACACCTCCACTCATAGCCTGATTCCTGCAGACACCTGCCTCTCCCAGCTCTGGTTCAGCTCCTGCTGCCCCTGGTCTGTGTTACTCTGACTTTCCTGCTGCCAGCTCTCTGGGTACATATGTCCTTCTGACATCCTCTGACACCTCCCCAAGTGCCCTCCCACTCAGGATCCTCACCCTACCAGATGAATCCTCTTCTTCCATCATCGACTCATGCCTAGCCCCTCTTCTCCTGAAGCTTTCCAAAGAGGACCTTCCTACACATAATAATCCTCACAGCCTCTCCTGTGTGGTGGTGTATATCTTCCTGAGGACATAAGCCCAGGCATGGGGACTGTGTGGAAGATATTTACCAGACCACGGAGGAAGAGTTTAGGACCTTGGTGCTGGGTGATGATTTGGGAATCTATGGAAGCCACATGGGTAGGTGTGAGTCCATAAAGGACTGTCCTGAGTTTTGCTTTGCACCCTGTGTAGGGCAAAAGTTGCATGTTGGACATTGTGTGTATGTGTCTGTATGTACATTGGGGGAATATCCAGTGTACATTATACCCTATGCCACATCCCTTGTTCCTGATCACTAGTACTAACCTCAGCTTCAGTTCATGGACCTCAAATATACCTCCTGTGAAGTGGGAAGAGGAATTTATACTGTTTCTAGCCCTTCCAAACCTCTTCTGTCTCAGAGAAGGACCCAGGCTGGATTTATAGTCTTAGGAAATCATCCTCAGGCCTTTCCTGGCTGGAGTGGGGGGTCATTAGAATGGAAGTGCAGCACACAGACTCTGATGAAGCTGCTGTAAGGAGTGAATTTTAAGGAAAATCTGAACCAGCCCTCTCCTGCTTCTTCTGACCCTCAGTCCCCACAACCTGCTGGCCTCAGATTCTAGTCAGCCTCCTCTTTGCTCACTCACATCCTTCTGCCTGAAATGGTGATGCCTGCCCTGTCCCTTCCTCTCATCCCTGTTCTTTGAATTCTACGACCCAATACAAAGCCCCCTTCCAGGTCACATGTTCTATATGTTCCTTAAAATTTGGAAATGGTCTCTTCCACATCTGACCTTTTCAGACACATTGAACAAAACCCAGTCCCCTACCACAATTTGCCTTCGGTTGGTCATCACTCTTCTCTGCTAACCTCAGCTGTATCTCCCTCAGAAGGGTGCTGTGTCTTTAGGAGGCCAGTGCCAAGAGGTAAGCACCTCTGTCTGTGAAGGGTGTAAGCCAGCCTCCACCTAGCTCCCACTCAGCAGACTGAGACCCAGAACTCAGTCTACAGAAGTCTTTTTGATAATAAGTCCACAAGGAAGCAAGATTAACTTGATGACCTTCAACCACTCTACCTGGCTTCCCTACCCACCTCCAGCCTCCTGATGACCTGAGGCAGCCTGCACTGAACTGTGTGGGAGCTTATCCACCTCCTGAGGGTCCTCACCTCATCAAAGCCTTTGCTTCCTGCCTTGAATTCCAGCTCTTGAGTCAGAGATAGACTCACTATATTTCTATGATTTGTGGTCCCTTGTCTGCTGATCTAGATGTCTGGGTCTCCTGATTCCACTTCCACCTCAGCAAGCTTAGCTGTTTCATTTCTGACCTCAGAAAGCAAGATTCTGACTTAAAGGCTTGAGCATTATGAAGCAATGCTAGTATCCTGCTGGATGGTACATGGATAATGAAGAAATAGAGTTTCCATAGTAAGGCTGTTTTTAGCCTGTTTAGCTCAGGCTGAACAGAAGGCTAAGAGAGAAGATGACCACTATCACTGGCATTCCAGGTGATCGGTCATGGCTTGTGTCAGTGCCATCAATCCAAAAGCAGTGTAAGATGTGACAACCCATTGACCCCCTCCCACCTACCTCGCTTCTCAAATCATAAGACAAAAAAGAAAAAGAAAAGGAACTCAACATTCCAAGCCTGTGTTGAACCAGGCTTTGTCATGTGAATTTTATAAATGTTATTTCTTCTTATAAGAAGTCTTTAGAGTAGATATTACTGTTTCTATTTTGCAGGACAATATATAGTTGGTATCAGAGCAAATTCTTAAATCTAATGTTAGATAATTCCAGCATTCATATCCTATCCTTTGCCACATGGTCACTGAAGACCTTAGAATCTTGGAGTATTCAGAGATTATTTTCCATTTGCTCCTTTTCCAAGGATCCTGGTTTTGACTCAGGTGCCTCAATGTGGAATGAGTTCATTCTGATGATGGATGAAGTAGTTGGTGGCTGAAAGTGGAATTGCTCCTTAGGAGGACAATAAGATGGTAGGTGCAGGTGGGAGACATGCAATGAGCAGTCCTGCCCTTTGGTTCAGAGGAGACACCTGAAGCAGAGACACTTCTTCTTCTTGGGTCTTGTGGGAATTCCTTCCTCTCATACAATGTGTGTTGTGGATTTCAGCATCCCTATTCTCAAGTCAGCTTAGGTCACTATGCTGACTTTATGTTGTTAAATCCAGTGGTCAATTTTCAGTCCTTATTTCCTATAAGTTCTCAGCCACAGTGGACCTATGCTTCCTGCAATCACTATTTTCACTTTGCAGTCACCATTATTTTCTGCCTACTGGATGGTTGCTCCAAAATTTCCTTTATCAGTATCATTCCAACCTCTAAATTTTTGAATAGCCGGCGTTCATACCCAGATGACCTTGCTTCACTGTCTACACTCATTTCTTTTTGGTGCTCTGGCTGTGCGGTAATCCTGTGACCTTCTGTGGCAAAAAGGACTTAGAGATACAATCTGTCCCTGGCCTCCATAGTGTGACTATCCAACTGTTTACTTGATATCTCCATGTGCATGTATAATAGGTATCTCTATCTTGACATGTTTAAACTCAAACTCCCAAAACATTCTTCCTATAGAGATTCTCATCCTTCCAAAGGTCACCTCAATCCTTCCATTTTTTTTTTCTAGCCATAAAACCTTGCTTTATTCTTGACTTCATTCTTTTCTTTTTTCATTTTCATTTCTTTTTCACTATTAGACAATATATCTCAACATTCTATATATATTTGAATACTTATTTTTGTACATCTATATGGAAAAAAATGTTTAAAACAAAATGCCTCTCCTCTCATCACCTCCTTGGTTCAATTGGGTCATTGTTTCTCACCTGGATTATCACAGTTGCCTCAGAGTCTCTCATTTTTGTCCCTAATCCTTTAATATCTATTTTCAAAATATCACCCAGATGAATCTTTTCAAAACCTAAGTTGCATCACATTACTCGTGAGCTCAGAACCACCCCATTAGGTCCCTTTATCTGGAAGGTCCTGTATCATTTGACCTCATCTTCCTAACTCCCCTCCTTCCTTAATGCACTCTAGGATATTGGGCTTCCTGCTATTCCTTCAATACTCTGTGCATGCTCCTTCCTCTCTAGAATTCTCTTCTTCCAGGTATCCACATGTCTCACTTCCTGACCTACTTCAGGTCTTTGTTCAGATGTTAACTTCTCAGTAAGACCCCTGAACTCCCTATATAAAACTGAAAACTCCTTCTGGTGGCCTCTTTCCTCCTTAATGCTTTATTTTTCTCCACAGTACTTTCACGAGACTGTGGGACAGGGTACAATTATTCTGGGCTGTTGTTTAAAGACAGTTGGTATTGAGGCCTCCAAGAACAAACTGCAATCCTATCATGCAAATACCATTATTATTCCCAGAAAATGGCACATAACTAATAGGTGGCAGAGCTGGAGTTGAAATCTAAGTGTTGAATACTAAAGCTCTTGAACTCTATATAGTCAACAATCCTTGCCTCCCTAGCACAAATCTCTCTTGATTGTATTGTATGATTTTTTTCAGTGCATTGTCAGATTCAGTTTGCTAGTATTTGGTTGAGGATTTCTGTGACTGTGTCTCTAACATTGACTTGTAATTTTTGTGTGTGTGATATCTTTGTCTGACCTTGGTATTACTGTGATGGTGGCCTTCTATAATGAGTTTGGTAGTGTTCTTCTCTCTACAAGTTTTGAGAGGAGTTTGAGAAGGATATGTATTAGATCTTCTCTAAATGTTTTGGAGAATTCACCTGTGAAACCATCTGATTCAGGACTTTTATTTATTTAAAGATATTTAATTAAAATTCAATTTCATTACTTGTGATTGGTCTATTTATATTATTAATTCTTCCTGATTCTGTCTTTGAAAACTGTACCTTTCCAAGAATTACCTGTTTCTTCCCAATTGTCCATTTTGTAGGTCCTTACTCGGTCAGACCCAACTCCTCCAGGGCAGCCTGAAGAGAAAAACTCCTTTGGACAATCCAAATGCAGAGGTGGAGTTAAAACCACAGTTGAAATCCAGGGGCAGTGTGGATAAGGAAGAGGACTAAAAAGCTTCTCACCAGCTGTACAAGTTACAGATTAAATCCACATGACTAACTAGGTAGACTTTGTGTCTATGGAATATATAAAAGGACAATGCGAGGCCCCACAGAATAAAAAGCAGTAGCTCTGGCACATATGCACTTTAGAGGCAAGAATACAAAGCAGTACGACCACATCAGAGTCTGAGCTGTCCCCATAGCATGAACTGACTGACTGACTGACATAATTGTTATCTTCAGGACATTCCATCCAAATGCAGAAGAATACACTTTCTTTTCATGTGCACATGGAACATTCTCCAGGATAGACCACACTTGGACAACAAATCAAGCCTCAGTAAATTTAAGAAAACTGAAATCATATCAAGCATCTTTTCTGACCACAATGCCATGAGACTAGATATCAATTACAGGAAAAAAAATGTAAAAAGCACAAGCACATGGAAATTAAATCATTTGTTTCTAAATAATGGACAGGTTACTGAAGAAATAAAAGGGAAATAAAAAAATTTCTAGAAACAAATGTCAATGAAAACACAATGTCCCCAAATCTATGGGATGCAGCAAAAGCAGTTTTAAGAGGGATGTTTATAACAATAGAATCCTACCTCAAGAAACAAGAAAAAAGTAGAAAAGACAACTTAACTTTACATATAAAACAACTGGAAGAAGAACAGCCCCGCCATATTAGTAGAAGAAAAGAAATCACAAGAATCAGAACAGATATAAATGAAAAAGAAATGAAGGAAATGATAGTAAAGATTAATGAAACTAAAAGCTAGTTCTTTGAGAAGATAAGCAAAATTGACAAATCACTAGCCAGACTCACCAAGAAAAAAAGAGAGAAAAATCAAATAAAAAAAACTAGGAATGGAAAAGGAGAGATTATATCAGACAATGCATAAATACAAAGAGACTATTATGAGCAAATATATGGCAATAAAATGGACAACCTGGAAGAAATGGACAGGTTCTTAGAAAAGTTCAACCTCCCAAGATTGAAACAGGAAGAAATAGAAATTATGAACAAGATAATTACAAGCAGTGGAATAGAAACAGTGATCAAAAATCTCCCCCAAAACAAAAGCCCAGGGCCAGATGGCTTCACAGATGAATTTTGCCAGACATTTAGACAAGGCATAATGCCTGTCCTTCTGAAACTCTCAAAAAATTGCAGAGAAAGGAATAATTCCAAACTCATTTTATGAGGCAACAATCATTCTGATACCAAAACCAGACAAAAACATCAGAAAAAATAAAATTATAGGCCAATATCACCAATGAACATAGTTGCAAAATCCTCAACAA